ATATCACAATATTAAACATTAAATTAGTGAATGCTTTGTACATCATTTTTTAAAAAGAATAATTCAATGGTTTATTAAAAGATATGTTTTACTAACAATTACAAGACAACAAATCTTTGAAAATCGACCTCTAAAAAGCTATACGAGCTCATTTTGCGAAAATTACTGAAATAAAAAAATAGCTGTAACACTTAAGAATAAATTCAGGTAGGTATTTAAAACAAACTTACTATAAAATTAAACACACATGCACTCTAAATTTTTGGGAGTGAAATTTCAGTCCAAGAAAAGTGATAGTTGCGCCAGTCCGGCGAAAGTGAATTTCGCTCTTTCAAAGAGTGAATTTCATAAAAGATCAACTTTAATGATTAATACCTCACTTCGCGAGGCAGAGCGACGCTTTTCTCCGCCATATTCGTTCGTTTTGTGCAAAAACACGTCAAATGAGCCTAATTTCGAGTCTATAAATACATCCAAGATTGGATGTGGGGGGGCTAAACTTAACATTTACCTTTAGTCTCTGCTTTCAGAGAGTGAAATTATTCACTCTTCGCAGAGATTAAAAATTGACTCTCGATTGGAGTGATTTTTCACTCTCGAAGAGTGATTCTTCGAGAGTGAAAATTTCGCTCCTGCCGGACTGGCGCAACTGTTACTCTTCGGGAATGTAAATTTCACTCCCAAAAATTTAGAGTGTGAATAAGGTAAACATCTCACAATCAGTGTCCAAACATGTACCTATGTCCGGACACTTACACAAAATTTATTATTATTAATTTCAAATGCTTTTTTTATTACAGTATTATAATTTAATTGTATTTAAAAATTACAATTAAATTATAATATTACGATTTAAAAAGCGTATTTGAGACTAATATTAACTTAAATAAATAAAGTGTTATGTAAATGGACATAGGTTATGTCCGGACAAAATTTTATTTATTTATATTAATATTAATCTCCAATGCTTTTTTACCTTAAAGATCAGTTTGAATTAGTTGTCTTTTGTGATTAAACATCTATTTATATTATTATTTTCCGTCAGCATATTAATTTTCCAATTGTGGTTGGATACTGGGACAATTACGTCTCAATGTCCGACCGGCTTGTCCGGCCACACTGGTACATTGACGCATTCTATTATTTATTTAAATATTTTAATTAATAATTGTTATAAGTTCAAATAATTTTTCCTTGCTTAAAGGAGTCTTGAGTTTTCAAATGAATACAAATATTTATATTAAAAACCTTTTTGATATTATAAATTGTATTATTTATGAGAACCTAACGCTTAAACGTCCGGCTACTGGGACATTTACCTTATATGGAAAACTCGATCAAGGCGATTTTCGTGCCTCTCTCTAATAATTTCATATAAATTTATACAATATTCCAAGAGCGAACTGTATGCCGATTATTCATCGGTCTTTAAGACACAGTTCTAAACTAAAGCTGGAGTAATATCATAAATTAAATTGATAAGCAATTTAAAGTTATTGATGCTAATAAGCATATTTAAAACTCTATAAATAATTTATTGCGAAAAATATTATTTCAGCCGTGATTCGAACCCGGATCTCCCGAATTCCGTGCGGGCAGCATATCCTCCTAATTCGACCACCGAGGCTAATTGTGATAATAGTAATCATAATAACCAGTATATGTACACTATTAAAAATTTCATGAAAAATTTAATATAGGAGGAGATCGGGGCTAAGCTGGCATTTGAATTTTGAGTGACAAAAATATATCTTATGAGTTCCCAATTTATATCGTAGATAGTATCTCATGTGTCTTGTTATCTTCTTTACCAACGAAGTTTGGTTAGTTTAGGTGCCGCGTTGTTATGTTTATCAAAGTTAGTCAAAGTTTAGTTAGTATTTTCGATAGTCAAAAGTAATTCTTGAGATTTCATTTTCCGAGATCACATCATCTTTTGTGTATATGGATGAAATGAAGTTGCAAACACCAAAATTTTTTATTGCTACCTTGTAGTCTTATAATCACTCTATAAAACACTAATAATCATTTGACTAAAATCGTTTATTTTGTTATTGAAAGTTGCAATTGGAAAAAAAGGTGCCCACTTAGCTCCAGTCTCCCCTACTTTTAATTTACACAATTTGAACTTAATTTCATGACATTACATTAAATTTAATGTATTTATAACTGAAAAGTATATTTGTGTACATGTACATAAATTTTAATGTATTTTTCATGAAAATTTATGAAATTTAATGTACACGTTCATTACATTTAAGTAACTACTGTAACTTAATTTTTAGTTCAATCATTCATTACTTTTAATTTCGTTCATAACCACGAGCTTCATTTACTTTCTTGTAAAGGAAGCTCGTGTGGTCACATTTCTAACAGTGTAGAAAGAACGTCCTTTTACGTTTTATAAAATTTATGCAAACTTTTTCAAACTTTTCTATTTTTATAAAATAAATTTACCTTCAATGTTATACCGACATTACAAGTTAGAAAATAATTTAATTTTTTTATTATGTACCTACTGCATACAATTTTTGTCTAATCTCTTTTTATACATAATAATAATGTTATTTTAACTATGTACTTGTACACAACGTACTTTTACAAAAATTATAATTTAAAAATAGCAATAAGGTCAACAGATATACATACATCTCTCTTCTATCCTGAATAAGAATTAATCTAAATTTAAATCTGTTGCAGTATATTTAGACGTTCAATAGAGAATATCCATTGGATATTTACGAAAAAATACAATTTTAAAAGCCTAAATACAGCATACGCATTAAAGTGTGTCGTATATTTTCATAGGAAGGAGCAGTACGCGATGGCGGAAACGCACGACGACAGATGTGTCGTTAGCC